TATAGTATTCTGACCTTAATAACTCCATTAATGCTCTGTTTTGTATTTGCTTTTCAACTGTTTGCATTGCATTGTGAATATTTGAGACCTATTTATGTCTTGTATGCCTTGGTTCACACAGGATGGAAGGATGGTGGGTAGGTTTTGATGGATAATCCAACCCCATTTTACCTGTTGTGGCACAATGGTTAGAATTCAGTATTGCAAGCTAACTCAGTATTGTTAACTCACTGCCTGCAGTTCGATCCTAACCGGCTCAAGGTTGACTCAACCTTCCATCCTTCCAAGGTCAATAAAATGAGAACCCAGATTGTTGAGGGTCAAGAGGCTGACTCTGTAATCTGCTTAGAGAGGGTGGTAAAGTCCTACGAAGCGGTATGTAAATCTAAATGCTATTGTCCTTGCTATTGTTACCCCATTGAATATGTTGGGTAGTGAAGATTTAAAGAATTCATGCGAGATTCCTGTCTTTCTCTGCTTCTCATACTTTTCCCCATTGCATGTGAATCTTCCAATCCTCCAAATGCAGTAAATCGAAGGCAGATTTGCACCAAACAAATAATCCAGTCAAATAACTGGGCTTTCTCCTTGAAAAAAAAAGTCTGCCTTGTGTATCATACCTCAGAGCTCCTAGTTATTGGGGCAAGCATTCAAATGACAAAGCAGAGCCTCAATTTACAGGTTGCTTTGATCTAATTAAGGCATTCCCAGCAAAGATGCATTTAATTGTACCGTGGGCATGAGCCTCTGTAACCTTGCCTTGTCTCAAAGTAAATGTCAATCTGTGTTTAATTGGATGCTAACTAGACGTTGTCTAATATGATGGCTGTTACGACCTTCCTTTGGGGTATGGCAAGGAAGAGGTGGAAAGCAATAGTTACTATGTCTTTGACTAATGGAGGATCGTGGTTGGACTCGCCATCCCATTTCACCAAGAGCAAATTTCTGGAAATGATATAGTTTGTTGGTTCATTGCATTCTTTTTCTATCTATCTATCATCTGTCTGTCTGTCTGTCTGTCTGTCTGTCTGTCTGTCTGTCTGTCTATCTATCTCTATATTATCATCTGTCTATCACCTATCTATCACTTATCCATATCTATCTAGCTATCTACATCTTTACTGTCTATATTCATTCATCATCCAACTCTCTCTCCCTACCTACCTCTTTCGTCTGTCTGTCTATATCTATCTATCTATCTATCTATCTATCTATCTATCTATCTATCTATCTATCTATCTATCTATCTATCTAAATTAAAAGAATACAATACGGTACAACCGATCTGGCATTACAATTGTTATAATGGCTTGGTGGGCATGGCTTGGTAGGTGTGGCAGGGGACAGATATTGCAAAATCCCCATTCCCTCCCCACTCCTGGAGGAAGGTTACTGCAAAATCCCCATTCCCTTCGCACCCCACTAACCTGCTTTCCAGCTCCGTTCTCCTGTGCAGGGCAACAAAAGAAGACCCAGCCAATCAGCTGGGACTCAGGAGGCAGAGAAGAGATGGGGTTGGCGGGGCCAGTCAGAGGTGGGATTTCCCCTGCTTTCCACTAACCTGCTTTCCAGTTCCGTTCTCCTGTGCAGGGCAACCAAAGAAGATGCAGCCAATCAGCTGGGACTCGGGAGGTGGAGAATAGATGGGGGCGGGGTCAGTCAGAGGTGGGATTTGCCGGTTCTCCGAACTACTCAACATATCCGCTGCCGGTTCTCCAGAACTGGTCTGAGCCTGCTGAATATACCGCCTCTGCATAGATGGTACATGAAATAGATACACAGAATACTAAGGGGATCACATTACTTCAATAAAAATTGAACTGAACAATTGAGAGTGTGACAAGAAAACTCTCTCACCGGTCCTGTCTTCAGAAAATTTGCTGACCTTTAAGAATTTTCATTCGACTTCATGAATTTTCCAAAGGCAGAAGAACCTATTTATTATAAATATGAAAGAATGCTCAGATGCTACTGAATTTAGCCTTAGCCCAGCTTATCTCAGCCCCCATAGATATATGAAGGAATGTGTTGCTTTGCTTATAGCAAGAAGCCAAGCTGATTAGCAATGGCACTTAGACTTATATACTGCTTCACAGTGCTTTCCAGCCCTCTCTAAGCGGTTTCAGCCTCTTGCACCCAACAATCTGGCTCCTCTTTTGACTCACCTCAGAAGGATGGAAGGCTGAGTCAACCTTGAGCCGGTCAGAATTGAACTGCTGGCAGTGGGCAGAGTTAGCAACAGCAATAAGATTTATACACCACTTCACGGTGCTTTCTAGCCCTCTCTAAGCGGTTTACAGAGTCAGCCTCTTGCCCTCAACAATCTGGGTTCTCATTGTACCAATCTTGGAAGGATGGAAGTCAACCTTGAGCCTGGTGAGATTCGATCTGCCAAATTGCAGGCAGCCGGCAGGCAGCAGAAGGAGCCTGCAGTACTGCATTCTAACCACTGCACCACTGAGGCTCTTAATAAATAAATCCACTTGCTGAAAAAAAACTGATGCATCACAATCCATCACAAAGCCTTCCTTACAAAAATAATTCAGAGAGGAGGATGCATAATGACACTCCAAGAGGGTGACTTGAATCAAATCACTTCTTCATTATGATCCTAACCTTGTCTGAGAAAGGTGGAATGATTCTCTGAACCAAAAATGTCCAGGTTGTTGTTCACGACTGGCATTTCCAAGCTGTGTGTCCTCCCTTGGTCACACTAGGCGTCATTAAGATGGCTCTTTAATAGGTCAAGTCAAATTTCAATTAACGCTGCCTTCAGCTTTTTAACTCTGCCGAGTTCTCTCCCGTCTCTTCAATTATTAGATTCATTTTGGTTGTATAAGCCGAAATCATTTCTTGAAGCATGTGGCAAATGAAAGCACTTAAGGGAAAAAGAGGAAAGGAAAAAACAAAACAAAAAAACCCTACCCCAAAACCCAAGGACATCACTAATGATGACTGGATTATGCAAAACGCCCTGCACCAAAAAGCAATGTTTATTTGAGTTTAATCAAGGAAATCATCAGCAGAAATGAACTGAAATGGCATGGAATGATAATATTAAAACGAAAGGGTTTATTTATTGTAATTCCAGACATTAATGCAGCAAGACACAGGAAATTATGTTCTTTATGTTTAATGAACTCTACTGCTGCAAATGAATAAAACTCTTCATTGGTTGCTATGGTCTACTAAAAATTTCCACCTAGTTTTCAGCCAGAGGTTGGCTACTAGCTAAACATGTCATTTCTGGATCAAGTAACTCTTGAGTAACGCTTTGAAAAAAAATTATAGATCTTTTAATTATGGTGTATCTTTTGATCTTCATATGCCATTCACCCCAGTCTTTTGTCTCACTGGTTTTGATGGTGATTAGTGGGCTGGAGGCTAAAACATATGAAGAACGGTTACAGGAATAGGGGGTGTGCAGTCTAGTGAAAAGAAGGACCGGAGGTGACACTAGAGCAGTGTTCCAATATTGGAAGGGTTGCCACAGAGAAGATTGGGTCAACCTCTTCTCCAAAGCACCAGAAGGCAGGACAAAAAGCAATGGGTGGAAACTGATCAAGGAGAGAAGCAACCTGGAATTAAAGAGAAACTTTCTAACAGTTTCCTGACAATTAGAACAATTGACCAGTGGAACTCCTTGCCTCCAGAAGTTGTAAATGCTCCAACACTGGAAGTTTTTAAGACGAGATTGGACAACCCTTTGTCTGAAATGCTATAGGGTTTCCTGCCTAAGCAGGGGTTAGACTAGAAGACCTCCAAGGTCCCTTCCAACTCTGTTATTCTACTATAATTTCTTTGCAACTGTTAACCTGGGCCATTGCTTCAGAAAGCAAAACACAGCAGAACTAGCAAAAGTTAAGTTTGTTGCTCAGTTGCAGTATGATTTACAAGACAAAAACCCTTCACAGAGGTAAGCTGCCTTATAATTGCTTCCAGTATCTTAATCTTTATCCCATAAAATACTGGCACTGCACAATTTTTGACTGATCTCCCCTGGTGTTTTACCATCTCCCGGGTTTCCTTGCTGTGATTTAATATGGTTTTTATTTCCCAGTGATTTCTCCTTATTTAAAGAAAATGATAACCCCATTTGCAACTTTGATCCATGGTGGGAGAAAGATGTGGAGATGAAGAAGAAGAAGAAGAAGAAGAAGAAGAAGAAGAAGAAGAAGAAGA